GTCGATGTCATCGTCACGTCTTTATGTAGCACACATATTATCGGAAAGGGTTGAAGTTCGGAATTTGGTACAATGCTACAGGCCGTGTGCCGTTGAAGATTTTTCGTAATCCCATTGAAAATTTTTAATAGAGCTGGAAAAACGAGGAAACTATTACGAAATATCATATTCGTATATAAAATATTTATTCATAGGAAATAATTTCTCTTATAGATGATACCACAATTTATTAACTAAATTCCAGGTAAGTGAAGTTTTCTGTGACTAGTGGTTTTAGTTGATTACCATTTGTGGTTTAGTTGCTATACTTACTTCACAGTGTTAATTTGTCGTTTTCGGTTATATCATTATTCATCATTACTACTTGGATTCGCGTAATCCATATCGCTCTTTTCTAATTGTTTTTTAGAATGTTCGCGTAGTGCTATAGTATATAAAGATTTGGTTGAGCACTCCAACCCATACTCTTTTATTAGACGAACCCATTCCTTAGAAGATGGTGGCAATATTTTTCCAGATTTAAGAAGCAGGTTCATATTGCACTTCAGTGCTTCAAATATCTTCAACGTTTGTTGTTTTTGTGGTCGACCAGCCATTGTGAAACTCCCACTGAAATTGCAATATGTTTATTAAAGGAAGTATAGCACCGTGCAAAGAGCGGAGAGAAAATAGGGCGTTGTCATTCAAAAAAAATTAAGTTTCTGAATATTTGAGATAACGAATTTCACTGCCAATTTCTGAACACTCCGTAATAAGAGTTTTAACAAGTTCTTTAATATTTGATAAGCTATAGGTCTTTTAAATCCTCAATACAATTGGTCTTTTTCTTTGAAGAGTTGCTACTACTAAAAAACAAAAGCGCAGGATAATAGTATATTATATTATGAGGAGCTAAAGTGTTACTTTTTATGGCGAGTCAGTGTTTGATGGCCGAGCGAAGCGAGCCATAAGAAGTTACTTTAGCTCCGCATAATATATGCTATTTTTTCTTCAAACGTGAGAACAACGCCCAAATAATGATTTTCAAATCGGAAGAAATATTAACACGATCGTTATAGGTAGCCATGAGCGCGTCGGCCGTGGTGGCTATAACAATTGCAATAGTTAGCCATTATTAGTTTTGACGTTTTAATTGTGGACGAGTTTTTTTGTGGGTAAGTATCTTCAATTTTTAGAAAATTACGACCTTAGTAATTTCTGTAATTCCTTTAGAGATTATGGATTCATATTGCACGCCACCTGACGTGGAGGAAGTTGCTTTAGCGGCGGTCGAAAATTTACTTCCGACAAAGTCAAAGGACATCTACGATAAAGCTTGTAGGAAATTTATTGATTGGTGTAAGCAAAAAAACGCAAAAACCTACTCGGAACATGTGCTTCTGGCTTATTTCTCGGAACTGAAATCGAAAGAAAACAAGAAGTGCTCCACCCTATGGTCTACTTATTCGATGATTAAGAGTATACTCAATGTCAAACATGGGGTGGATATTAGCAAGTATTTAAAACTAAGAGCTTTCCTAAAGAGGCAAAATGAAGGACACATACCAAAAAAGTCAAAAGTTTTTACCAAAAATGAGTTCGATGTTTTTATTAACAATGCTCCCGATAACGACTACTTAGGAATGAAGGTGTGCAATGTGTTATAAGTTATGAATAATAGATGTTAATTTCGCTACATATTTTACAGATTGCATTGATAATAGGCATTGCTGGCGCGTGTAGGTGCGATGAAATAGTAAAAATGAAGACTGAAGACATCGAAGATTTGGGATCTCTTCTTCATATACAAATTCCGGATAGTAAAACTAACAAAACCCGGTCCTTTACAGTGATAGGAGCACACTATATCGGCATTTATAGAAAATATGTCAACGTTCGGCCAGCAAACATGAATAACTCGAGATTTTTTTTGAAATTTGCAAAGGGAAAATGTCATCGAGCTGTGATGGGAATTCACTTTATTGGAGAAATATGCAGAAAAGTGGCGTCGTACTTGAATTTGAAAAACCCCAAAGAATACACTGGGCATTGTATGAGAAGGACTTCAGCTACACTGCTGGTCGACGCAGGAGCCGATATTACTTGTTTAAAGAGACACGGTGGCTGGAAGTCTAATTGTGTAGCTGAAGGTTACATAGAAGACTCGATTTAAAATAAAAATGAAATTGCACAAAAAATACTTTCGACAACTTTAGAAAATCCAGGTTTATCAGATGAAATGACTTCAACTACTCCTCCATTTGAAGTGGAGACCAATCCAGTTCTTGAAAATACTTGTAGTTCATTGGAAATAAGACGAGCTAAACAAAACTTGACTCTTCAAAACTTGGATGCTGCAGGAACGAGCTCAGGGTTTAATTTCAATAATGGTAATATGACTAACTGCACTTTCAACATTAACTATTATTTAAATAAATAAATAGTTTCTTTGATTGACTATATTTTTATTTCTGTTAAAATCAGAAGGAAAGATCAACGCACTTGCTAGGTGAACGAAGAACCTAATGTAAATAACACCAAATTGTCAAAGCAAAACAATGTGACACTGGCACTGAAGCGTTTTAATGCCTAGGCACTAAAATACTTCACTGCCGCTTGTTCGATTGTTCTACAAAGTCAAACTTTAACTCAGAGTGCTGAGCTACGTAATGTCAATATTATATGACGTTTGAAGAAAAACATATTTTATGCTGTATCTATAGTTTCATTGGGCGTAAATTCCAAAGATTTGAATTTCCTAAGTATACCAATTTTCATAAAATCTTCTTTCTCATATACAGGGTGATTTATACCAGAATTTGTTGTTGCTGCTCGAAGGGGACGTTTCTGATACCCGATGACACCATCAGTGATAGAGAAGAATTTGATTTAGAACACACGACACAAGAGGAGGAGGTAACCAACGACTACAACGTTTTTGAGCAGAATAATTTATCTACTGAAATTGACAATCCTACTGATGACTCAGACAGTGAAGATAACGTACCACTGGCCCAACTTTTACCACAAGCTACATCACTACAGAAAAAGAAAAAACCCACCATCCTACTGAAATGGACAAGAACTGTGACGAAGCAAATTGATTCAACATGTAATGTATCTTTTTCTGAACCTGAAAAACATAGAAATTCTTCGACCAGAAATCATTAAAACTTATAATACGTATATGGGAGGAGTCGGCCCCCAATGATATGCTCGTTGCTTTATATAGGACAAAAATTGGTACATAACGTTTTTATTTTCGCAAATTTTATCATCTGTTGGACATCTGCATCGTGAACGCTTTATCGGCATCATTGTAACATAAAGAAATTAAAAATTTTAAGAAATTAATTGTGTTTAGGAGTGAAATTGGTCATGCATTTTTACAGTTTTGTATAGTTGAAAGAAAACGAGGAAGGCCCTCTTCAAGAGAAGGGACACCGCCCCAAAATTAGCAACCGCAGTTTAAAAAACGAGCTACAGTTGCCAGACCTATAGATGATGTCAGATATGATCAAAAACACCAATGGCCGGTACACATAGAACCGAAGGTAATGTGCGCCAGTGCACAATGTACACCAGGGTTGCGTGTGATAAGTGTAAAATGTCATTATGAATTACCAAAGACACAAATTGTTTTGTAAAATTTCATAAATCTGTTTGATGTAAGTTTGTAATGTATAAAAAACTGTATACCTCTGTTCACAACGACGCCAAATGGCATCATTTCAGGTATAAATAACTTCTTAGGTTTTTTATTTTTGCCTCGGTAAGGAGTCCATTTCATTTACAATTTCATTTCATAAAAAAATTGAACGATACTGCATCGGTAGAAAATAAAGAGAAAATAGTTGAAAGGGACGAAGGGAGACACAACATCGTTTATTAGTTATCGTTTATTATTCAAGTTGTTATTTCGTTGGAAATAAAAAAAAACTGATGCAAAATTTTAGTACCACAAAGTAGTCGCCGGAGATTTAAAAAGAAGTGTCGTTTAACCCTCCATTGTTACTATTCAAAACTTAGGGGTTGTTTTGACAATCTCTAGAGGCTGGAATCTATGGGGAAGGAAAAAGGAACAAAATTCTTTCCCGTCAATTTAAAAATTGAAATTTTTTTAGGGTTTGTTGTAAAACCGAAATTAATATTTTCGTTGGCCAACCCTGTAGTTGTAAACGTTCTAATGCATACAAATAAATATATTAAAGTATATCACCTTTTACTGTATGGAGTAGTTATCATAAATTATTAGCACTGTTGATAATCACGATCAGTAGATGTACGGCAGCTGCAGCGTAATAAAGGGTGTGGGTAAATCTCAGACCCGGACCCGGACTTGATGGGTAAAAACCGAACCCGCACCCGCAGAAAATTAATTGGTATACGTTTTTCAAAATTATTACTTGGGTATCGCTTAGTGAAGTTGGCCGTACCCATCTATTTTTTCGAATATCCCTGCAAATTCAAAAGCACAAAATTTGTATTTATCACCAATAAATTGCACAAAATTAATTAGTATTGGTTTTTCAAAATCATTACTTGGGTAAAGCTAAGTAAAGTTGGCCGTACCCATCTGTTTTTTCGAATAACTCGGTAAATTGAAAAGCACAAAATTTTTGTTTATCGGCAATAAATAGCACAAAATTAGCACAAAATTAATTGGTATAAGTTTTTCGAAATTACTACATGGGTTGGCCGTACCCATCTCTTTTTTCGAATAACTCGGTAAATTCCAAAGCACAAAATTTTTGGTTATCGGCAATAAATAGCACAAAATTATCACAAAATTGGTATAAGTTTTTCGAAATTACTACATGGGTATCGCTTAGTGAAGTTGGCCGTACCCATCTCTTTTTTCGAATAACTCTGTAAATTCCAAAGCATAAAATTTTTGTTTATCGGCAATAAATAGCACAAAATTAGCACAAAAATATGGTTACTACAATTTTAAGTTTGGTGAAATGGGCATTGCCAACTTCACGGACCTCCTTACAGTCTGAATTTTTCTTAATGCAACAATGAATTTCCAAATGCTCGGATGCTCCATTCCCAATTCGATTGTAAGTCTACGGTGCGCTGCTTCGGCGTAACACTCTTTGATACAGATTCCATGTATGTGGTCCGAAGAGTGCTGGACGCCTGTCAAGACCTCTACGATTTCTGCGACCGATGTAAGTGTCATCAAACCAATCTACTAAGGGTTGCAAATCATCGGGAAGATCTTCCGAAATAGCATCAAGCGCGTTTTCCAGAGCATTTATCGGAATGAAGGCCAACGCGGGTATCATTTTTGCTCGCAAGGAAAAATTAGCATCATTATTGTAATTTTGAATATATCCTAATTCGCAATTTTTTTTCTTTACGTTATGAGTTAGGTGGTAATAGCAACCGAATATATTTGCATCGGGAAAGCATCCTTGAAATACAGTAATGGCAGCTGCTTCAAAATCGCAGAAATACGATCGAGGTTGAAAAGTTGAACTCTAATTGCATTAATGCTTGAAACAATCTCAAGTACGTAGTGCCCTGTTTATTCGGCAAAAGCGCATATATGATGGGATGCTCTCCACCATGAAGTCGACCAAGTATCGTATAAATTTGCGAAAAAAAATGTGGAGCTGTTTTGAAGGTGGCATCGCCATAGAAGGTATCTCTACTACGTAAAATATGTAAATTCTGTCGACGACCAAATCAATATTCTCATTTCATCCGGTCCACTGTCATACACTCTTAAAAATGACATGGTATATGCAACAAACAATTATTGGTTAAAGAGATTTAGTTGCATCATGCAAAATGTTTAGTTACAATAACTCCAATCTGATTTCTTGGAATACATGATGTTGTTACTCCAGCTAAAAGGTTTTAGTTAATGGTGATTAGTTATACTAACAATTAATTAAGTTTCGTTTACGATAGAGTAGTACAAATAACAAATTGTTTTAGTTACACGATACATTCAAGTGCATACACAAATTTTAGTTACCATTACAAAACAAATTTGTTATTACAATTAAAGAGTTGGTAATGAATACTAAAATCTGAGTGGTTATTACAAACCCAAACAGTAAGCAGAAGCAGATTGGTTAGTAACAAAAACTAAAAAGTCAGCTATCATTACGTACACATATAGTTTTGCGGCGTACTGCATTTGCAGGTAATGGCCGTCGAAGACCCGCGAGTGCAGTTGTGTTGTGTTGCGTAGATATAGTGTGAATGCCTAACATTGCGCAATTTTGAATCATTTATAATATTAGTCCAGGCATTTATGTTTGTGCCCCTTGTCATTTGTGGTAAGTATGTTTTATTCCACCGTAACGAAAATTACTAATTCCACAGTGTAATTCTTTACATTACCTACATATAGACACGTTTTCTCTTTCATTCAGATTTTAGGTATTTTAAACGTATGAAATTTCGTACTTGGCGCACTGACCAGCATAGAGGGCATACGAAATCATAATTTCGTTTCCTAAGAGAAAAAAAACTGCAATTCTGCAGTATGTTACAGGTAAACATACTCGTACCTACATTTCTACGTATCTCTGTGGTGTCCACCCACACTTTCCTGGTTTTCAATAGCATGACACATATTTTTCTAAAAAATTAACTGTTGTTTGTCTTTGGTGTTCTGGATAATTAGATTACGTGGTGTAAAATATAGATCTAAAATATAAAAATTGACAACACAAATTAGAAAATTTGACCAAATCAAATTCGGCTTAAATTATTAGTGAGATTTTATACACCTCCCCCAACAAAAAGATAATTTACCTAACAATCCCATCTTGATGTTATTGCAGTTGATTGTAGTTTATTGTTTTACTTTAACTTTATAGATGGGGTCGCCACGTAATGTGAACGAACCATCGCCTGTTGAAAACATTTTGCAGGAATGGAATTTAGCCGAGTTAATCCCTGTTTTTAATGGTAAGCCAAAAATATATTTACATTTCTGGCACCCCGGGGAACATCTTAAGTATCTTTTTTGGTTATCAATATTATACAGGATGAGTTTCTGTTTACTTCCACTTTGGGGATCTCGTAAACCTCTTACGAGATACATCGGTTAAATTAAAAAAAAATTTAACTGCCAGAAAAAGGGCATGTGCAGGTGGATAGCCTAGTTTATAAAAACGTCAAGTTACAGTACCTAATTACTTTTCGATGGTTTGTATATAATTGTATACATTGTATATAATTATTGGTTCATGTGCACATTAATAGAAAATACCCCCTCCCCTCATACCTAAGAAAAAAAATTGTATATTCTCAATGCACACCTCGGTTTTATACTTACGCGTTAGAAACGTAAACTTTATCATTTTCAGAAAATTTTGTGGACTATGACGTGTTCTCCAAATTGAGCGAAGACCATATTAAGGAACTTGTGCCGAAAATTGGTCCCAGAATTCGCTTTTTGGCAAAGTATAAACATTGGTTTGACAACAAATCACAGCCCATTTTAATTGATGAAGATACGCCATGGACACTACACGATACATCACATACCCAAGTTCCGGTTATTGAAAGTCCGACAACTTCTGAACCATCATCTATTGCCGATTGTCAAACAATTGCAGGTAACTGGTCTGACGCAATTGTGGGACTTAATGATGTTGAAATTGTTAACACCCCGACTTACCAATATAAGGTTACATGTGCAAAAAACACGGGATTAGAAGATTTATTAAATTCAAGCACAAAAGGCCGGTTAATTCTTTATTCGTATAATAAAAATGGTAAATTGACGTCAGATGACAGAAATAAATTAGTAGAATTTATAATCGAATCGGAACTTGAGAATGATTTGAATAGATCAATAAGCTGTGTCAGGTTTGAAGAACTAGCGCATGCTATCGTTGGAATTTTCACAAAGGAGTGTAAAGTAAGTACCTAATAAGGAATAAGGTTTATTTTAATTTTTCTGTACCTATTATTTATTCTAGGAAGTTTATTTTATGAAAACAACTCACTTCAAAAACGGGAAAACTACTCAATCAGGAAGAGGAAAATTATTTTTCAAATACTATAACTTTAGAAAGCAGTTGAAATCAGCAGGTCTTATAAAGACAAACAATGCTACTATATTACAAAGTTCAGATGAAGAAGGTAGGTTTCATACAACTTGCTTTTGTTTGTAATAGCAACGACCATCATTAATAGGCACAGAAAATGACGAAGAAAAATTGAACCAACTTGAGTGGTTAAAGCAGTATAAGGAACCATTCCATAAGGTGCAAGATTACTGGGGTAATACCTTTAAAGCTCGACAGGCTTTACTTAAGGAAAAAAACATCTATGAGTATTGCAACACTTTCCCTATTTTACGGTCAAGTTGCGGATACATTTTGGTAAATTGTACATTGGTTCCATGTGTAAACATTTAATTTTTTTCTTTTAGTTAAATAACGATTTTAATCTGTTGTACCCCAAAGTAGATGACTTGTTTTATGTAAATTTTGCAAAGTTTTCTGAAAAAATATTATTATATACCGAAGGACAGAAGGACAAGATCCTTAGAAGAAAATTAAAGGAAATTGAAGATTGCAACACTGAGGGTAATCTAACATGTTATTATTTCCTTTGTGTTACCTTGTACCATTATTGTTGTAGATGGTAAAATTATAAGGATATTAAAACTACTGCCATATCTAGTAACGCCTGTAGCAGTGAATAAGAAATGGAAACCTTCAAAAACTGAAATTGATGAAGGATTTTTGATTCACATTAAGGTAATATTTGTGTATGATGTAACCCACAATAACAGATTTTTTTTAGAATTTGCAAGACTTAGATGAATCTATCAAAGCTCGTGAAGCAAAGCTGTTGAAATTCAAATTAACACTTCAACCAACACCGATTATTGTTGGAAACGATTTGGACCACATTGATGCTTGTTATGTTCGAGTAGATACAGTTTTATATCAAGTAGAATCTCCTCTAAAAGCAATAGAAGTGGCATTCAAGGCAATTCATTCTTTACATGCATTGTACCCAGTAGAAGCAGAGCAGGTGTGGTTACTTATTCAAAAGTGCATTTTCAATTTGACAACAAAGTTTGATAAACCTTATACGTCTGTTACAAGTTTGGTTCCTCAGTTAAAATGATTTATTGTATTTGATTTATCTTGCAATATTGTATGGCATTCGAGATGGCATTTCTTTTTCGTTTCGTTCTTGTATGTTTTAAGTAGGTTAGAATTGAAAATTGATACTTGTGTTGCTTAGATACATTTTATACTTTAGTTTAAAGATTTCCCATTGCTTAAAATAACGATGGATTGCGCTGAATGTGGAAATCAGTTTAAGTCTTTAAAAACTTTAATTCTTCATTTAAAAATTACACATAAATTTGAGGACGGTGTCAGTACGTATTGTTGCGTACAAAATGGTTGTAACAGAAATTTTAATACACTACATTCCTTTCGTGCCCATGTTAATAAATGTCATAAAAGTACTTTTGGGAGTGTTAACCATGTTCACGTTGAATCACAGAATGGTACCTCATTTTTAGTCGTTAATAACTCTGTCAACGCAGCTTCAGATGAATTAGTAGAAACTATTTGCAACATTCAAGAAACAACATCTAACTCTGACATTGATTTTTTCAATAAGCAAATATTAATTTTTATTTCTAAATTATATAATTCATCTTTATTACCCAGATCTTATGTTCAGTTGATTATCGATGATTTGTCTGAACTCTTTAGTTGTGGATTCATTAACATTCTGAAAGATATTGTTTTTGATAACTTGAAAGATAGTGCTCCAAAAAATCACATACACTCCTTATTCAAGATACTAGAAAATCCTTTTCAAGGTTTACATACAGAATATTTGCGATTCAAACAATTTGAAGCTAAAGAATTTTTAATTTTGCCAAAAGAATATACCATCGGAGAAACCATGACTGCAGTACAAAGCAAGAATATAACGACATACAAATCTGTCAAATCAATAGGACAATTTATTCCTCTTAGATTACAATTGAAAAAATTTTTAGAAAATGGAAACGTGCTAACCATTATTCAGGCGTATATAGAAACACTGAAGTTGGGTATTAATGAAAATTCCGTCTCCAATATTATGCAAAGTCCACTGTGGTGCAAGATTAAGCAAAACTTTCTGCCTGATCAATTTGTGCTTCCTCTATTTGTTTACTATGACGACTATGAAACTGGTAATCCCTTAGGATCACATGCAGGCATCCATAAATTGGGCGGAGTTTATGTTCATTTAGCATGTATCCCACAATCCTATTCATCCCGTTTAAATAATATATTTTTAGGCTGTTTGTTCCATTCAGATGACCGTAAAGCTTTTGGTAATTTGGCAACCTTTAAAATTTTAATTGATGAATTGCAATTTTTAGAACAAAATGGAATTGAAGTAAGTATTGGCAATCAAATACATAAAATCTACTTTGCAATGACCCTTATGTTAGGAGATAACTTAGGATTAAATGCCATATTGGGCTTTGGAGAATGTTTTAATGCAAACTTTTACTGTAGACTTTGTAAATGTGCTAAGAGGGACGCTGAAAAATTATGTGTTGAAGATACAAGTAAATTAAGAACAATACAAAATTATTCTAGTGATCTAAATTTATATAGTTTTGCTGCCAGTGGAATTAAAGAGGCATGTATCTTCCATTGTTTAGCTTCCTTTCATGTCACACAGAATCCATCTGTTGATTTAATGCATGACTTGTTGGAAGGTATTTGTCATTATGATTTTATTTTAATATTAAAAAATCTAATTTGTGATAAAAAACTTTTAACTCTAGACTCGTTCAACTTTAAACTTAGATCTATACAGTTAGATTCTAATGATTCCGACAACAGGCCTCTTCAATTGCAGCCAGATTTTTACAAAAAAAAAAAATTGAATATGTCTGCGTCAGAAATGCTCACATTTACCCGAATTTTTAATTTCTTACTTTGCGATTCGGTTCCAATAGAAGATGAATATTGGCACCTTTATTTACACTTACGCACTATTGTTGACATTTGCTTGAAAACTAGTATATCAATTCAGGATATAAATTTATTATCTTTTCACATAAATGAGCATAACAGCTTATATTTACATTTATCTAGGCAAACTTTAAAACCAAAATTCCATTTCCTTACCCATTACCCCATGATTATGCGAGAAATAGGTCCTATTGTTAATATTTGGTCAATGAGATTTGAATCAAAGCACCGAGAAGCTAAAATGACTGCCAATGTAGTATGCAACCGAAAAAACTTGTCCTATTCTCTTGCTCTAAAACATCAATTGAAAGTATGTTTCCGGCTCATGTCACAACGTGGATTTGAAGATATTATATTATATAATACAATAGATTTAATACCTAACGTTAACAAGTTTCTAAATTTTGTTGGACCCATTGATGAATTTTTATCAACTGATGAATGGTTTCATTGCAAATGGATAAAGATTAATGATACAAGGTATTATTTAAACACAAAGCTATTGGTAGATCATTTAAATTTAATGCCAATATTTGGTAATTTACTTTTTGTGTTAGTTAATAACTCCAATAAAATATACTTTGTGCTTGATCTTTATGAAACAGTTGCCTACAGTGAACATATTTATGCATATGAACTAGGCACTACAAATTCTAGTATATGTCTTGTTAGTTATGATCAGCTTCCAAATATTAGACCATGTTTATATAATTATTTTTCTGATGGGAGACAGTATATCGTTTGTAAGAGCTGAAATTATATTAGGTATGTGATTGTGATCTCCAGAATTCATTAATCTCCATTAATAAGTATTGAAATGTGCGCCATGTCCCGTTAAACCGTCGTCTAACGCTCTTCTACGTCACGCTATGTAAAATGTATCTAGGTATCTTAGCATTGTATTTTGTGTTATAGAAACTTATTCTTTTCTAATAAACAGGTTATTCTACATTTTTTTTTTATTTAAAATGTGTGGTGACCTAAATTATTGGAATGGACTAATATAATGTGTTTGTGCCAACCAACTTTATACTTTGTTGTGACAGTTGAAAAGTGTTACCTGGGAGGTGTGATTCATCTAAAAATCTAACTAAGATTAGTATTTCTTACAAATATGTGCCTGTAACCACAATGGAAACAATTTGTCGTCGTTACTAAAATAACCTGCTATAACAAATAAATATTATTGTAGCAATACAAATTTACATTCTTAGTTGCAACTTATCTGACAGTTGTAAGAACTAAGATATTTAGTGGCTAGTACAAATACACGTTTTAGTCATAACTAGAACAATATGTTGAATAAACTAAGGTGTTGGTGGCCACGACAACTTTGGGCCAGTAGTCTTAACCAAAAAAGACTGTTTTAAGTACCAAAAGCAACTAACCATTATTAAACAGTTTGGGGAACTAAATAATTAGTTATGCCTAATTTAACTATAAATTTAAGTTGTGGGAACTCAAATTTAGTTACCACTACCAAGTCATTTTTAAGAGTGTACATTGGCGCTAACAGGTTCATCATTATTTTATCTTTTTTTTGTTAATTTACGTCGATATATTGACAACGTTAAAAGTTCACGTTGGAAATCGTGACACCAATTATTTAACAAATCTATGACCTTTTTTGGTTCCCTTTCAGAATGTCACTGCACTCCAGGGCAACCAAAATTCTTAGTATGGTTGGCGTAGCCCGTCCAGACATCGCAAAAGAATCTCCAAAGTTTACCATTAATCCAATCGATGATGTAACAGCTAGTAAAGAAAATAATATACAGAATAACAGTTTCGACGCTTTGTTAGTGAACGCAGCTGATGATCAAATTAAAAAGCTAGAAAATATTATTCTCCACTGCCAAACTAATGTGCCTGATGTCACCCTTGATATAGACATAAATTTGAATAATACTGACGTGCGTGAAGAAAATACCTTTGAAGTTCAAGAGGAAGTGGATCAAGCTGGTTTTTTAGATGATCAAGCATTAATAAATACTTCAAATTTACAACATTTTGATTTGGAACAAAACGAAACTGTTGATCTTGAAATTGCACAATCTGATAGTGAAAATACTGAAAATCTTGTTATAAGGAGAAGAAGAAAAAGGAGACACGTAGATGAATCTTCATGGAAAAAGAATGACAATAAAAAAAACCGAGAGTTGGGCCATGAATACAATGGAAAACGACAAAAGGAAAAGAAGTGGGATTACTGCGTTACTAAAGCTGCGAGAAGAATAAAAGTAAGGTGCAACTGTAAGGCCAAAACTGCAACCAAGTGTTCCAAGGCGTCAGACGAAGCAAGGAACCAATTGTTTGAACAATTTTGGAAACTTACTTGGGGAGAAAAGAAAATTTATTTAACTACATTAATAGAAACATGTTCGACTAGAAGAGCAAGAAACAGAAAAGAAGAAGGTATATCCAAGAGCAAAGTCTTACACTTTTTACTTAGATTTACCTGCAGAAAAAATAAGGGTTTGCAACACGTTTTCCATATCTCCAAGAACGCTGGGACATTGGCTAAGTGAAAAAGGTGTCTTAGTGTCTAATGAATCTAACAGTAACAATATTCAAGCCACTAAAAAGAAGCAGACATTAGATTCCCGAAGAGATAAACTTTCTAAACAAAAAGAACTCTTGAGAAACTTCTTTGATGCTCTCCCCAAGCTTGAATCTCACT